GGGATTAATCCGAACAATTCCTCAGAGCACTCCCCGTGATAGATGCGATAAAATACGCAAAGAGATGCAACATCTCTTCGCAGCGCCAGTGAATCGAGCCGATCGTAAAGCACTCGGTCGTCGACGATTCGAGCCGCTCTGCGCTGGATGCGGTCAAGTGGAAGGAGCTGGTACTGGGGAGCCCCAGTCCAGAGATGGGAACAGTATTCCATGAGCGGCCGAACCTGCGCCTTGTAAAGTTGCAGGCGGTGTGCCGGCATGAAATACTGTCCCGCTCTGCTGAGCACGTCAAGCTTTTTAGAGGCCAATTTGGCCTTCCCTTCCAAGTGACCACGAAACTGCACGTCACTCGATATGTCGACGCCGAGGATTCCGATACTGGCTGAGGCAACAAGGGGAGTGCCTTGAAACTGAGGGGATACGACAAAGGGGTTCTTTTTAGCGGTTAACGCGCAAACTTGTGTCTTCTGGGGGTTAAACTGGACTAGATTTAGTCGCCCCCAATCCGAGACTCTGTCCAGCAGAGACTCGACTTCAGACGCAAGTTTGTCCCGGCACTCAGAGACGTTTTCCCGAGAAATATTGGCTCGGCCGGTGTAAAGAGCATCACCAGTGCTGTCATCTGCATAGCAATGAATGCTACGGGTTTGCAACATATCATTGATATGCAGAAGAAACAGCGTTGGCGATAGCACGCAGCCCTGTGGAACACCAGCATTAATAAGCTTGCAATCGGAGCTTGCACCGTCTACAACGACCTTGATGCTCCGATCTGCAAGAAAACTGGTGATCCAATCGCACAATTTCTCGGGAAGCCCATAGGAAGGGGAGCTTCGAAAGAAGCGCTTTGTGCCAAACCCGATCGAAGGCCTTCGCAATGTCCAAACTAACGGCCAATGCCTCCCCCTTGGACTCTACTGCCTCCGCCCATCTGTGAGTTAGGTAGACCAGAAGATCACCAGCTGACCTACCACGGCGAAAACCGTATTGGCGGTCACTAATCAGCTGGTGATCCTCAAGGTACCTCATGAGCTGGCAGTTTACAATGGACTCCATTGTTTTGGAGAACAAGGAGGTGATGGCGATAGGCCGGTAGTGGGACGGGTCTGAGCGGTCGCCTTTTTTTAGGGATCGGGTGGACGAAAGCCGTCTTCCATGATTTTGGGACTACGCCTAGGGAGTAGGAGTACCGGAAAAGACGCGTTAAAACCGGTGCCAACTCTGGAGCACACATCCTCAGCATAATTGGGGGGATTCCATCAGGCCCACTCGACTTATGGATGTCCAGGGAGAGGAGTGCTTTGCGAACCGAGCGCTGAGTGAACTGCACTTCCGGCATGGAGCACTCACACGGCGAGATGGTCGGCGGCGTACTCCCCCGTCATCGAGAGTCGAGTTAGACGCAAAAAAAGAGCCTAGAAGATCGGCTTTCTCCTTTGTGGTGTGGGCCAGTGAGTCGTCCTCCCTGTGCAGAGATGGAAGAGATGGCTGACAGAAATTCCCCTGGACAGCCTTGGCGAGAGACCAGAATGCACGAGTTCCAGAAGGAAGACGAACTAGTCTCTCGCCAATTCTGCCTATGTGCTCTGACTTTGCCTTGGCAATGACTCTTTTGAAGGATCTAGAGGCGGAATTATACTTCTTTTTTAGAGCGCTGGTGTTTACATCCCTGGACGCTGATGCGTCAGCCCAGGCTCGGTAGCACTCCTGCTTATAGCATGATGCTATTTTACAGGAGCGACCAAACCATGGCTGAGATTTGCCTCCAATGGGCACCACAGAGGAAGGAATAAAAAGTTCCATACCCTGAAGTACCACATCAGCGACAGAATCCGCAACAACGTTGGGATCGTCCGGCGAGAAGCAAACCCGCCCCCAAGGGTAGGATGCAAAGAAAGACCGCATCCCATCCCAATCGGCTGACCTATAGTGCCAAACACGGCGGCAGCCTGCAGAATGCAACCGCAATTTCAGCGTGAGTAGCACCACACTCCGGACAAGACAATAGTCCGAGGAGCCTAAAGGGGCGTCGACGGAAATCTGATATCCGTCCGGGTGAGAGGTCAGCAGAAGGTCCAAAAGGTTTTTAGAACCTCTTTATTTGTGATACGAACCTCCGACATAGTGGTCCCGCAGTGAGGTAATTTAGGTGGAATGTTGCCACTGTCCAGACGTGAATTGTAGACAAATAGAGATGCGAACAAATCCGCTTTCTCTTTCGCCGTATGCACCAGGATGCCATCAGGTTTTACCAGTGGAGGCAGTGCAGGCCAACAGAAGTATGTCTCGACCGCTTTAGCACGATATCAAAAGGCACTAGTTCCTGATGATGATCTGGCAGAGTTTTGCGCCAATAGATTTAAGAAGACTAGCTTTCCGTAATGTTTTTTGTAGGACTTGGTGGCCTAGTTGAAAGTTCTCTTCTTGTAGCTGATATCCGGAGTTTTGCGGTTTCAAGCTGCAATCCAGGATAGGCACGCTATATGCTTGCGTTTTTCAGCTTGGGCGCATTTAGCGTTAAACCATGGACGAGCTCTGCTACCGGTGGGAGCGTCAGAAACGGGGATAAGATATTCTATAGCTTGACACAACATCTGTTGTGACTTCAGTGGGTTTAGGTTCTTTGTTGACAAATGATGAAGTCCAAAGTTGACAAATGTTCGTTTATTCAGCAGAGTTTCAAAAGGTACCTGTCGATATACAATTGAATTAGTATCTAACTTTCACAATTTTAATAAAGAGAAATATTCAAGACTTTATACAAAAGCAATTTGTTCGTTTATTTACAATTATTACATGTTCTGTGAAAGAAATGTATTAACAAAGTTTAGCACGTGGCGACTAATTTTGAGTGCAAAATTACAGCTTAAATTGATACAAAATGAACATACCTTTTGAACGCTTTGATAATACTTGTTTTGTTGAACAAAACTCTTGACAAACAATCAACGGATTGTTGTTCAATACTTTACAATTTTCAGAATTACAATTTGGAGCACGTTTGCCTTTCGCCATCAAGTTTCGCTTTTTCCATAGAGTAGAGTAATATATGGCTTTGTCGCATGAAGTTATCAAAAAGTAGGCTTGCCAACTTAATTACACAAAATATGAGAATACATTATTGCCAACTTAGACTCTATATAAAACGAAAGTAAAGTGTGAAGTAGGATAGGATCAAAGTTGGTCTAGGTCAGATCAGCTGTCAATTGATCAATTCTCAACAACATCTCACACAACATCAGGTTATCATATTGGGACATCAGCTCAGTTCTCCGTGACCATGGGTGCTGGAAAGCACCCGAAACGTCGGGAATTAAAAACCCGTAGTAGTTTTAACCAACATTAGTACAGTTGCATAGTTTCAACGTAGACTTATTATAAACATTTTGTGTTTATGGTTCCTGAATATATCTTATTAGTTATTTTTTTGTGTCCGAATGACATCATTCGCGTCAGGTGCAAGCCTACGGAGTTGTACAACGTATTATATTGTATTCTTTGACTTACTACTAAATAATGAATTCCCTGCTTGGGTTATTGGTTCTTGCGTGTGGATGTTTTGCCCTAACTGCGATCTTATTGCAAAAGCACTGTACGGCACTCTAACATGTCCTGCGTAACTGTCAACCCCCGATAACGTTCGAATATTGTCACTTTGGTAGAAGTCGCCAAAAGAAATATATTTTGTTATCACACTTTATACAATTTAAGTGATAATGAAGGGTTACGAAATGAAAATACAGTATATCACACATATTTTATTAAAAAAATATTGTAGAATATTTCATTATGTACATATATATGTCACACGATCATATTAAGCAAAAATAAATCGATTAAATTGGATTTTAGTGCAATGTAAAGTCTATAGAAAAAATTCAGTCAAACGCGCTCCTTCTCAACAACCACAAGACAAGCTAGTACCGGCTTCAAGTATTGTTAAAAAATAATCTACATGAAAGTCGACTAAAGAATATGCTAGAAACACCTTGTGACCTCCAACATACGGCGGAATAAGCACACACCAGGCCTCAGTAACACAGACCGGCGAAAAAGGGAGCAGCGACAAATGATATTGCAGTTGGTGATTTCAAGCATGTTTATTAATGGCTTAAGTTAGTTAAATTTACAGCCTATATACATCCCACTGCTGGGCACAGGCCTCCGTTCGTTTCTGAGAGGGTTTAAGGCAAGTAATTGTGTTGGCGAACTTTACATGTCTTGGAAATTTTTTTCTTATTTCTCAGACATGCAGATTTCCTCACGATGTTTTCCTTCATCGCCGAGCACGTAGTAAATCAGCATTCAAAATTGTAACTAACAATTTCATTGGTGCTGCCGGTTTTCTCGTGAAAATCAGCGAGCACTAACCATTTGAGCTACCACGGTTCAGATGGTTAGTGCTCGCTGTTTACTTCACACACACAAGCTAAATGTTTGCAACGATTTCTTTTCCCACTCAACGTCCAACGATACCAACATCCGATAGATATCCCGCTCATTGAGGTAGTAAAGAACACTGGCTGCGTTTGGCAGAAAAAAGCGCTAGCACGCGCTTGTAAGCAAAATGGCGATCGTATGCAGTGAGCGCTGTCAAATCGTAAGTATTTTCCTCTAGGACACGAAGTTAGTTTTAACCGGGGAACCTAACATAATTTAAATATATGTTTGTAAAGTATTCATATTAAAAACTTACGAATCATGTATTTTTAATAACATGTATATGTTTATTCATGTCATATTACGTGAAACTAATATTGCACAAAACAACTTATAAATTCTACTTCAAAACAAATAAATTAAATATGCAAAATGGCGGATTGTGTCAGCGCTAATGAAGTTAGCAAACGTGTCCTGGCCGAAAACTGTTTAGTTTCGCCATTTTGCTTACAAGCGCTTGCTAGCGCTTTTTTCTGCCAAACGCACCCATTGACATAACACGTTGATATTTGACTAATAAAGCAACACAGTGCGGCGCTAGTGTGCGAGTAAGCTTGAGCTCAGGGCCCCGCCGTGACGCGGAAATAAGCGTCCGTGCGATCCCAGTCTTCGAAGATTATTGGCACGTCCTCCGGCTTCGTGTCGTGCGGCTCGGGCGGCTCGTGCTTGGTCTGCCGATGACACAGTAGTACAGTACAGTACAGTACCCGGCGATAAATATTGCACATCGACCTTTGAAAAGAGACAATAGGCTAATTTCCGCTTCGTAGAGCCTTATCTCTGTCGCACACTGACTGACGGATTGTTTGTATTTCGTGCGACAGAGATAACGCTCTACGAAACCGAAATTAGCTGATTGTCTCTTTCCAAAGGTCGATGTGCAATATTAATCGCTGGGTATTGCACAGTTGCATGTTGCACTGGACTAACGTCCAACAATGACAGTGTACAGCACTCACCTTCAGCCTGAGGTGCACGAGGCGCAGGTGCGTGCGCATGGCGGTGCGCTGCGTGAAGCGGCGGCCGCAGTCGCCGCACGCGAACGGCTTCTCGCCCGTGTGCGTGCGCACGTGGTTGATGAGCACGCTCTTGCCCTGCTCACACAGTCACGTAACATAGTGTACAGTTTGTAGTGTACAATGTGTAGTGTACAGTGTGTAGTGTACAATCTGTAGTGTGGATTGTGTAGTATACCGTGTGTAATATGTAGTGTGCAGTGTGTAGTGTACAGTGTGTAGTATGCAGTGTGTAGTGTACAGTGTATAGTGTTTGTGTGTAGTATAGTGTGTAGTGTACAGTGTATAGTGTTTGTGTGTAGTATAGTGTGTAGTGTGCAGTGTGTAGTGTACAGTGTTTGTGTGTAGTGTACTGTGTATAGTATGTAGTGTGCAGTTTGTAGAGTACAGTGTGTAGCGTGCAGTGTGCACATAGTGTGTATATATACCCGGAAGGCGCGGCCGCACGTGTCGCAGACGTGCGCGGGCGGCGGGCGGCGGCCGGCGTGCACGGCGCGCTCGTGCTTGGCGAGCGAGGCGCGCGACGCGAGCGCGGCGGGGCAGCGCGGGCAGCGGTACGGCCGCACGCCCTCGTGCTGTATCTCGCTGTGGTGAGTGAGCGCCGCTTGCGACACGAACCGTTTGTCGCACCGCGTGCACTTGTACCTAACGTATACGAATCGAACATATACTCGTAAATGTAAGTGAAAAGTCAACCTATTTTATTTTAACTTTTCTCATACAACTGTATTATTAAATGTTTACTAAAATTTATCGCACCGCGAGCACTTGTATCTAAAGTTTACGAATGCAACAGATTTATCTATTACACATAATTCTATGGAACATATTTTTATATTATATATACAACATATTTTTATATAATTGATGACCTTTTTTACTGTCTGGAAAATAATAGGGTGTAACATGTGAACGGATTAGGAGCCTGTGGCAATGATGTTTTACAAAAAAATTAAAAACAAAATTTAGATTTAAACGCTTGAATTTTTTTAAACAATAACTTTGCCCTTTGCCCTTGAAACTGTGAGCCTGCGAAATGACAAGGTCAAAGATGCCTACTAAATTTATTATATTATTGACTTTTGTAAAGTAGGGTGGATATGATTTGAATTCCGATGGTTTTTAATTAATAAATTTATTTAATTCAAAATTTTTGTTTTTATTTTTTCAAATATCAGCGCCATAGCGCTTCTAATCCGTTCACATGTTACACTCTATTTTTTTCCAGACGCTAAAAAAGGTCATCCATTATATAGGTTGATTTACTAATATTAGTTCGTAAATGAACTGACATATCATTAAGTTTTTTAAAATAATAACTGTGCTAAATGTCTGACTGACCATATAAAATAGTGAATATTTGAAAATCATATTAAATTTCAACTACGTCGCACATATTCCTAATAGTCCTTCGAGCCGGAACTCAACCACTCAACCACTTCAATGCAAGAAATCACAACTAAACTCTACATTCTCAATGGTCCTTCGAGCCGGCACTCAACCACTCAACCAAACATGTTTTTTCAATAAAAGCTAGTAAAAGTACTGGTAGAGTAAAAGCTAGTGGTCCGATCTTGATCAAATTTATATGGAACCACACGAGAAGTACCAGCTTTCAGATTAAAATATTTTTTTTCTTTCAGATAAAAGATAAAAAAATCATCAAAATCGGTTTAACCAGAAGAAAGTTCTGAGGTAACACATAAAAATACGTACACGTAAACACATAAAAAAACATTGACGCTGGTGTTCCACAAGGCTGCGTGCTATCACTAACACTGTTTCTTCTGTATACCAATGATATTTTGCAAACTGGTAATATTTATTGCTATGTAGACGACAGCAGTGGTGATGCCTTATACACTGGCCGTGCTAATATTTCTCGGGAAAACGTCATCGAACACCGGGACATACTTGTGTCTAAAGTCGACTCTTAGCTAAACAAAGTTTCGAATTGGGGGCTACTAAATCTAGTCCAGTTTTCGAACAAAATGTTATTTCCCTACGAAGTATTGATAATACATGTTTATACTCTTTAACTCGCATTTCAAAAAGGAGACTCCGTAAGTCGTAGTTAGTAAAATATAATGACGTCTTACTTGGAATTCCCCATGAATGTTCGGGTTTGGGGCATATAATTATTAATTTGTCTTATACACGTGCAATGAATGAATACATTCATAAAACTCTCTAAGTAGCACAGCTGTGAACGTTATGTTTGTTCCTTGTCGACACAGGACACGATTACTTTTAGCGGAGCTTGTCCGTCAGTATTTATTTTGGCTTTGACTGAGCTTGAAAATATAATTGATAAAAAATCTGCAAATATTTTAAATCAAAAGAAGATAACGGATTTTTTAGTTAGTAGTACAGTTTAATAGTTTATTAAGTACAGTTTCTTTCATTAATATGTAATTTCTTTTAATATGTAAAAAATATGTACTATAAAACTTAAATTGAATTGTTATTCAAATGCGACTCTACAAATCGAAAAATATACTAAGAAATCGTGCCTCTGTAAGTTGAAATTTCAGCAGTTAAATCATATGTATCTCAGTTGAAAACTCGTTATTGTTTTGCATTTCCCTTGACATTCGAGTTATAGAGATTCCAATGTAATTCCCTTGCCCCTCGGTTCTGCTCACATTTAATTAAAATTATGTAGGTGTTCTACTACTCGACAATTTTCACAATTAGGTGAATCAGTTCTTTTCATCAGTAAGATTTTTTTTTGATGGAATGTCAGAGACGGTTTTTCACGCCATTATGTGTTCAATAGACTTAGTAATATTAAGATTCAGTTAAATAAGGCGAAAAAAAGATATTGATACGCAAATTGATTTTCTTTGCAAGCCGTACTTTTCATGTAACAGTCGACAGATCGCGGTCATTTGAGGTCATTGACCTTCCTATTCTTATTCGAATCGCATTGTAAGGATAGTAGTCATGTTCCTGTTGATCAAGCAGGATGGGGAATATGTTGGATTTGTTTAGCTTTAGCTCACTCAAAGTATTTGCTGAACTACGATTCCAATTAATTAGAGGGTAGTAGTATACTTTATAGATTATGTACATAACGGAAAATAGGATGCAACGGATACTAAGATTAGGATTTTCTAAACAACAACCTCGCAGACTCGCGAGACCGTGCCTAGGATAAAAGTATCTTGAACGCAGCGAGAAGGAGTGTCGATATAAACCTTCGATGATACAGAGTCAATATCTAATGGGTATCTACAACTTTATCTGCCACCAGAGCGGCGTCACTTAAGAATGTGGTGAAGTATATGACAGATGTCTTAGCGGGGGAAGTAAATTTGTTAGAAATTTTATTTATATTAATAAAATTTATATTAATTAGATTAGAAATGGATAATCCAAACTACTGTTGCGCGCCATAATTAATGCCTGGTACATGGCAATAGCGCCATCTAGTATCCAGTAGAACTAATCCTTCTAGAGAATTCCATACTAGAACTTTCTACACCTAGTCAGTCGGGACCGGTATGTACTCGAAAATTCTAGTTATTTCAGTAGGAGAGGGCCTATATAAAATCGGTGAAGACCGCGACCGAGTCAGTATTGAATTGGCAATTCAAGCAATACAACAATACAACTGCGAATTGTGTTTTATTAGTGTGTGTGTGTAAGTTGTTATTGGTGTTTGGTAATTAAATTGTCAATTTTGGTTAATTCAATCGGCAGTTTTATTGTCACGAACCCCAAACTCGTAAAACTACTTTTATTCTTAAAAGAAGGAGAATTAAAAAGTAAAAAATTAAAGAATACAGCACTGAGGCATTGTTTTATATTTTAATGTTTTATGCATACACTTGAAACCGATTTTTTTTTAAATTTAAATTACAAGTTTTGAACGATGACGACACTGTGTGACCACATTTCGTAACAAATAAGTTCACCTTAGTTCCAATTAGCGACATCTAATCAGAGTAACATTATTAACCTTTACTGCACGAGTCAGTTAAATAAAAGCAAAAACTGTGTTGTGAACAGTTATTAATAATAAGTAAAAATTACGATTTACTTACTTAAGGCTTTGCACATCCAAATGTTTCAGGCTCTTCAACAGGTGCTGCTTAAGGCTATGGGCCGATTTAAACCTGGGGAAAAGGATTTTTGGAGTTCACTTTCTCTAATAAAAACTGGTGAAACTTCAGCTTCCGTCACCGTTAAAGCATATTAAAGTCCACTGCGGTAGATGGGTCTCCCCCATAGATTGCCAAATAGGGGGGGATATTTGCCAAAGTAACACACTTTTTATGCGTGGTAGAGTCATGCTGCAGTTATATTAGAAGTATAGTTATAGCACGAACGGGTCGGCTCGACCGGGGAAGGACCACGCTCTCACAGAATACCAACGTAAAATAGTAGCTTCATGCTGCTGTGTTTCGTATGGTGCGTGTAGAGAACCGGAGACCCTTTTTACTGGAAACGGGGCATTCCAACTCGTAATCGAGGATATATATATATATATATATATATATATATATATATATATATATCTATCCTCGATTACAATGTCAATGTCAAAACAAACACTGGATGATGCAACAATTAGGGTTTTATCCAAAGGCCTCAACTTTGCAATTACACCCCGCAAATTACCGTACGAAGAAATTATCTGTAGTGTCGAGGACTGTTTATTTAAAAACAATATGCGGAAAGAAGATTTGGAGGCGATACGTCAAGACATCTCGTCTATGTTACGTCGATGTTCAGTGCCTAAACCGAATCTTCCCAAAGACGAATTTATAGCGTTAAAGAACCTACGCAATAAACACGAACTTACGATTCTCCGCGCAGATAAGGGAAACGCCACGGTAGTCATGGATACGTCAGATTATAATTCTAAAATACAAGAACTTTTGTCGGATGTAAGTACTTATAAAAAGGTTAAAAACGACCCAACAAATAGCACACTAAAAACAACTAGTGACCTCATAAAGAAACACTCCGAAAAATTAAATCTGGACGTAAAATGGATAATACCTACGTGCGCCAAATCACCAAAATTGTATGGGTTACCAAAAATACACAAGCCCAATGCTCCATTACGTCCCATAGTGAGCCAGATCGATTCACCAACTTACAGATTGGCTCAACACTTAACGAAAATACTCTCACCACTCAGGGGACATACAAGAGCACACATAAAGGATTCCTACCATTTTGTCAGCGAGATTAAAGACCTACATCTGGCAGACAATGAAACTATGGTCAGTTTTGATGTGCAGTCATTGTTTACATGCTTACCTGTTGAAGACTGCATCTCAATTGTAACTAGAAGGATGGAAGAAAACAACATGCCCGTAGAATATGCAGTATTACTCAGACACTGCCTTACATCTGGCTACCTATTGTGGAAGGAGGAGTTCTACAAGCAAGTAGATGGTGTGGCGATGGGCTCACCTGTATCTCCCATTGTCGCCGACATATTCATGGAAGACTTTGAGGAGAAAGCCCTCCTTACTGCACCTGTTACACCAAGGTTCTACAAGCGGTACGTAGACGACACTTTCACAATTCTACCTTTAGATAAAGTAACTGCATTTTTAGACCATCTTAACTCTATAAATTCTAAAATTCAGTTCACAATGGAGTTAGAGGCAAACAATTCCTTAGCTTTTCTAGATGTGTTAGTAATTCGGAATCCTGATAACACCTTGAGCCATATTGTGTATAGAAAAAAGGCCCATACAGATAGATATTTAAACGGTGATTCTCACCACCATCCTTCACAGTTAGCTACCGTGGGTAAATCTTTGTTTCAGAGAGCACGAGGGATCTGTGACAGTAAACACCTGGCTGCAGAGCTCCACCATGTCAAGCAAGTTTTGCATGACAACAAGCTTCGGGTCCCGCGCCTACGTCACAGTGAACGAGTGAAGCCGGCCACAGTCGAGCGTGTACCTGCTGTACTGCCATATGTTAGAGGAGTCACTGACAAGATTGGCTACATCTTGAAGCGCGCTTCCATCAAAATATACTTCAAGCCGCTGAAGAAGATTGGTCAGTTTTTAACATCGGTCAAGTGTAATGTCCCTCTGCAAGATGCAGGAGTGTACAAGCTTGATTGTGAATGTGGTCTCTCCTACATAGGACAAACTAAAAGATCAATAAAAACCCGCGTTAAAGAACATATAGCTGATGTGAAGAATCGACGCTCCGGGAAGTTTGCAGTCTGTGAACACGTACAGGATCGCCCCCGTCACTACATCAGATTTGATAGACCGCAGATCCTCGCTAAAGAACACCGATTCCTTCCAAGGATGATTCGCGAGGCTATTGAAATCAAAAAAACATCCTAATTTCAATAGAGAAGATGGCTGGGTGCTACCATCTGCTTGGGATCCTATAATAAATAAAATTAAATCCCAACCCAAGCATACAACTGCAAGACTTCAAGATACCATAAGTTCATACTGCATAGATCGGAACAAAAGTTAAATTTTAATCTATGGTAACCGCGGTTAACTATGACATATGGATGTTGAACATCTCAGTCCTGCCCGTGACCATGAGTGCTGTAAAGCGTTCGAAACGTCGGGTATTTAAAAAGTTAAAATATACGCGATAAATTCCGTAAAAACTAGTATTATTTCAATAGATATAGATGTCTATGGTCCACAGCAACCACTCACCATCAGGAGGACCGTGTGTTCGTTTGTCACCCTATCTTACAAAAAAAAAACTTGACAAACAGGTTGAAAACAGCAATTTTTTATTTTTAGTTTTTATTAGGAAGACGCTGCTGCCCATCCACTGAGTTGTTTCCCTCTGTCGGCTCTTACGACACCCGCGGGATGATATGGGGTAGTGGATACTCTTACAACGCCAATACACGCTAAAGACATGGTATATCAAAAAAAGTACACAGTTATTAAATATTTCACGTATACAGTGTTACCTCACATCGCATTCAACGCAGTAGTAGTCTTTCGCGTCAGAATGCTTTCCCTGGTGCAGTTTAATCTGCGTCCGCGTTCGGAACTTCGCGCCACACTGCCCGCATTCGTAGTTTTTGATGCCCTTGTGAATCCTGGAAATCAGAGGATAAATCTTTATCATATTTGTCATCTCATGACAAGTGTACTGCCGGACAGGATTGTTTTATAGAATAAGGGTGACAGAAGAGCACACAGTCCACCTGATGGTAAGTGGAAGCTGAGACCCATAGATCATAGACATCTATTCTCGACTAGGAATCAAATTGCAGAATGCCTCGTTTCAAGTAAAAAAGGTCTCCGGATTAAAAAAGTTTGAGCATTGAGACGGAAATCACAACTTGTAATTACTGTCTGGTCCTTCGAGCCAGATCGCAGAAAAAATTCTTAAAGTTCATTTCTCTGTTTCCTCTCCGGTTAAGCTACGGCCACAGTATCTTACCGTCTATCGCCCGTTTAACGCAATAATTATGATATTAAATTACTGCCTGAGTTACCGCGTGAAGTAATGTGGTTACACTAGAGTTTACCTAGATATCACAATGAACTAGACGGAAAAAATGCTCATATCGCACATTGAACAAATTGTAGTGTGACCTTTTAACTCAAAAACTACCGCAGTAATCGTCTTTGATATGCGAAAACTACCGTCACCAGAGCTATTGCTTATCGTCATATGCCATATTGATTGACATTGTAAAATTATAAATAATCAATAATAACAAAAAAAATACATTAGACAAATGAAATTGTTTGTCGAAAAATCAAAATTTATTTACGTGGTGGTAGAGCTTTCGGAAGATGGAAATCTTGTAGTCTGTCTGCATTTTTACCACCATTATCTATTTCTGTCTTCAAGCCGCTGTGCACTGCGGCTTGAAGACAGAAATAGATAATCAGACAGAATAGATAATCGACTGTTGTTTTGGATTAAAGAGTGAGAGAGTCATCATTATAATTACAGAATATGAGGTATTCACCTTAGTGCTTAGGGATAACAAAGTATTCAAAGTCAAAGTCAAATTTTTTTTTGAACGTTAAATCTTCACCGGTGCAAAAAACAAAACTTTTTCAGAAAATAACCGGCAAGTAAATCTGGGGCTTTTTTAAATTCGCTAATGCAATTCCATTTACAAGTTAAAATGTACGTTTAAATTACATTTATATATCAACAGCCAGGGGACTTGCAAATCTGCAGGCAAAATGGCTCGCAAAATGTCTCTGAAAGAATATAGATAACAAATTAAACTCACAACTGGTGCTCGATCAAGGAGTCCTTGTTGACGAAACTCTTCCCGCATTCCTCGCACGTGGGACGATCCCCGGAATGGTGGTTCCTCATATGACCACGATGCGTTTTGTTGTTGCTGATCGACACAATAGAATAAAATAACTTTAATTCAATATTTAGATTGTCTAAAATTAAGTCAATTCACAAATAAAATATTATATTAACATCTCAACGTAGCGAAGCGGCTCTCCGTGGGCCGCTTTTCGCCCCCGCGAGAAACGAGACGTGATGGGTGGCGAACCACATCGCCGCCATTTTGGTTAATTTTTTGATTATCCATTGCGTTCCCACGAATAGCGAAGGAAAGGTTTGTCCCCCCCCAGCAGAGCCCCGCATGCCAGGGTAAGGCTAGCCTAATTCTGGGGTCGCCCGGTCCCAGGGCAGTGTGGCACGCTAACGACTAGGCTCGCCCCTAGCCATGCATCCATCCGCGCGGCCGACGTTGGATTGGCGGAGGGTAGGAATAGGAAAACGGGAAGGATAGGTGGTGTGAAAAGGAAGAGTAAGGTAAGTTAGGGTAGGAAATAGGAAATGTAGGATATTACCGTCCATGAGGGCAAGGGATAGGACAGTAATAGCTAGGGTAGCCGGGGTCGCATACCCGTATACCATACCACAACTACCGGACAGGTAAATTGGGATGAGTATCCCTCGACTTTTCTCATGGTTTGGCCACATCGAGAGAATGAATGAAGAACGATTGACGAAAAAAGTGTATAAGGCGAGTGTGAATGAAAGTGCTGGAAGGGGTAGACCTAGGGGGACTTTTCTAGACCAAATTAGGGACGTCTTGAAAAAAGGCCAGGTTAAGAGTACCCTAAACCGTAGAGCATGTATGAAGGGAATAATGAAAGTATACGAAGCGAAACAAGTATGTAAGGATCGTAGCAAGTGGAAAGAAGTGGTCTCTGCCTACCCCTACGGGAAAGAGGCGTGATTATATGTATGTATGTATTAACATCTCATTATCATGAATTTAGAGAAAAAATAGAGATTAGCATAAAGGTGCCATATCAATTGTCAATGTTTAATATGCTTACAGTATCGATAGATGGCACCACAATATAATTGTATCACGCCATAACTGTTCTAGTGCCAAAATTTATAGGTATTAGATGATGATAACTAGTCAAAGCATAGTGAATTGAGTAATCGACACAGGCTGTAGGGTTGATCGATGTTGCAGAAAAATCGATGATGACATCGATGTTGACATCGATAGCTCAACATCGATGTTCGATGTTTATCTTCCTCAAAACATCGATGTTGAACATTATCGATATTTTTGCACGCAATTAGTAGTTACATCGCTTCGAAGTATTCGCTTGAATTGCCAATTCCGTCCGGCATGACCGGCCTTATATAGGCCCTCTTCTACTGAAACATCCAGAATGTTCAAGAGCACATACCGGACCTGACTGACTAGGTGTAGAAAGTTCTAGTATGGAATTCGATATCTCAATACTAGAGGGCGCTAGTGGTCACAAATGTCTCCATTAATTATGGCGCGTAACAATATCCTGTTTTTCTTGTGTTGTCTCTTACGACACTCAGGGGATGATATGAGCCTCATGATCGTGAGAGAATAAGAAAATAAACTACCCCATAATAGGGAACTGGATTCCGAGGCCGCTACTAAACAACGAAATATACTTACTTAGAAATTTTTCCGCAGATTTGGCACGTGTACAATTTAAGAACACCTTCGTGTTTTGAGCTGAAAAGAAAGAAACAAATTAAAACTTGACTTAACCACTCACTTGTCCAAACGCCATATTCTGGCGTCTCAAATAATATGCGCATTATCAAACGCCATAATATGGCGTCGAGTGATAGCAAACTATTTGTAACATATATATGATTTATTTAACATACACATATATAACATATATATCTGCATGTTTGATTTTGTCTAAATTTGATTTAATAATGTGTTTTTTGTGAACCTCTTTATTTTTTTGTCCCGATGTCGAGTAGAGCTAAGTGAGGCCTTTCTCGACCTTGTCGTAAACAAAAAATGTATGAATTTTTTTTTATAATTAAATATGCTTTGGACGTACAAGTAAAACAAATAGTACTTGGAATAAAGGCTTTAATTTATAATTATTAAACCTTTGCAGAAAATTGGGGGAAAAAAACACTTTTCTTACTTTCATTTTCCAATTAGTATCACTTTCGAAGTAAACTTGTATTCAAGTTATACATAATCTGATAGCTTATTTAATAAAGTTTCTATTGATATATGATTTTAATATACCTTTTATACAAATGTCTTGGAAATAGTCATTTTAATAAACAGCAGGAAGTAGTCTGGAAATACTTCGGGAAGTGCTCGACAGATGCATATATTTGCCAAAATGACCCCCACATACGAGGGGTTAATAGAGTTTTTAAAAAATTACTTTGGTAAACCACATTATAATCTTTGTCAAAAAAATTAATTGTTTTATTTCATTTAAAAAAATACTTACAAATACTATATTTAATGCGAATAATTTTACTTTGTATTTACTAGTATATAAAAACGGAGTATCTAGTGGCAGTGAAGTTGCAGTGCATTGGCAGTACGAGTGGGAGCGGCGCGCACCTGTAGTGGTCGAGTATGGAGGCACGGTCGGTCATGCGGCGGCCGCAGCGCACGCACTCGTAGCGCCGCGTGTGCAGTGTCTAGTGTCTAGTGGCAGTGCAGTGGCAGTGCGAGTGTGAGCGGCGCGCACCTATAGTGGTCGAGTATGGAGGCGCGGTCAGTCATGCGGCGGCCGCAGCGCACGCACTCGTAGCGCCGCGTGTGCAGTGTCTAGTGTCTAGTGGCAGTGCGAGTGTGAGCGGCGCGCACCTGAAGTGGTCTAGTATGGAGGCGCGGTCGGTCATGCGGCGGCCTCAGCGCACGCACTCGTAGCGCCGCGTGAGCAGTGTCTAGTGTCTAGTGGCAGTGCAGTGGCACAGCGAGTGTGAGCGGCGCTCACCTGTAGTTGTCGAGTATGGAGGCGCGGTCGGTCATGCGACGGCCTCAGCGCACGCACTCGTAGCGCCGCGTGTGCAGTGTCTAGTGTCTAGTGGCAGTGCAGTGGCAGTGCGAGTGTGAGCGGCGCGCACCTGTAGTGGTCGAGCATGGAGGCGCGGTCAGTCATGCGGCGGCCTCAGCGCACGCACTCGTAGCGCCGCGTTTGCAGTGTCTAGTGTCTAGTGTCAGTGCAGTGGCAGTGCGAGTGTGAGCGGCGCGCACCTGTAGTGGTCGAGTATGGAGGCGCGGTCGGTCATGCGGCGGCCTCAGCGCACGCACTCGTAGCGCCACGTGTGCAGTCTCTAGTGTCTAGTGGCAGTGCAGTGGCAGTGCGAGTGTGAGCGGCGCTCACCTGTAGTGGTCGAGTATGGAGACGCGGTCGGTCATGCGGCGGCCTCAGCGCACGCACTCGTAGCGCCACGTGTGCAGTCTCTAGTGTCTAGTGGCAGTGCAGTGGCAGTGCGAGTGTGAGCGGCGCTCACCTGTAGTGGTCGAGTATGGAGGCGCGGTCGGTCATGCGGCGGCCTCAGCGCACGCACTCGTAGCGCCAAGTGTGCAGTGTCTAGTGTCTAGTGGCAGTGCAGTGGCAGTGCGAGTGTGAGCGGCGCGCACCTGTAGTGGTCGAGTATGGAGACGCGGTCGGTCATGCGGCGGCCTCAGCGCACGCACTCGTAGCGCCGGGTGTGCAGTGTCTAGTGTCTAGTGGCAGTGCAGTGGCAGTGCGAGTGTGAGCGGCGCGCACCTGTAGTGGTCGAGTATGGAGGCGCGGTCGTTCATGCGGCGGCCTCAGCGCACGCACTCGTAGCGCCGCGTGTGCAATGTCTAGTGTCTAGTGGTAGTGCAGTGGCAGTGCGAGTGTGAGCGGCGCGCACCTGTAGTGGTCGAGTATGGAGGCGCGGTCGGTCATGCGGCGGCCGCAGCGCACGCACTCGTAGCGCCGCGTGTGCAGTGTCTAGTGTCTAGTGGCAGTGCAGTGGCAGTGCGAGTGTGAGCGGCGCGCACCTGTAGTGGTCGAGTATGGAGGCGCGGTCAGTCATGCGGCGGCCGCAGCGCACGCACTCGAGCCGCCGCATGTGCAGTGTCTAGTGTCTAGTGGCAGTGCAGTGGCAGTGCGAATGTGAGCGGCGCGCACCTGTAGTGGTCGATTATGGAGGCGCGGTCGGTCATGCGGCGGCCGTAGCGCACGCACTCGTAGCGCCGCGTGTGCAGTGTCTAGTGTCTAGTGGCAGTGCAGTGGCAGTGCGAGTGTGAGCGGCGCGCACCTGTAGTGGTCGAGTATGGAGGCGCGATCAGTCATGCGGCGGCCGCAGCGCACGCAATCGTAGCACCGCGTGCGCAGTGTCTAGTGGCAGTGCAGTGGCAGTGCGAGTGTGAGCGGCGCGCACCTGTAGTGGTCGAGTATGGAGGCGCGGTCGGTCATGCGGCGGCCGCAGCGCACGCACTCGTAGCGCCGCGTGTGCAGTGTCTAGTGGCAGTGCAGTGGCAGTGCGAGTGTGAGCGGCGCGCACCTGTAGTGGTCGAGTATGGAGGCGCGGTCGGTCATGCGGCGGCCGCAGCGCACGCACTCGTAGCGCCGCGTGTGCAGTGTCTAGTGTCTAGTGGCAGTGCAGTGGCAATGCGAGTGTGAGCGGCGCGCACCTGTAGTGGTCGAGTATGGAGGCGCGGTCAGTCATGCGGCGGCCTCAGCGCACGCACTCGTAGCGACGCGTGTGCAGTGTCTAGTGGCAGTGCAGTGGCAGTGCGAGTGTGAGCGGCGCGCACCTGTCGTGGTCGAGTATGGAGGCGCGGTCAGTCATGCGGCGGCCTCAGCGCACATACTCGTAGCGCCGCGTGTGCAATGTCTAGTGTCTAGTGGCAGTGCAGTGGCAGTGCGAGTGTGAGCGGCGCGCACCTGTAGTGGTCGAGTATGGAGGCGCGGTCGGTCATGCGGCGGCCTCAGCGCACGCACTCGTAGCGCCGCGTGTGCAGTGTCTAGTGTCTAGTGGCAGTGCAGTGGCAGTGCGAGTGTGAGCGGCGCGCACCTGTAGTGGTCGAGTATGGAGGCGCGGTCGGTCATGCGACGGCCTCAGCGCACGCACTCGTAGCGCCGCGTGTGCAGTGTCTAGTGTCTAGTGGCAGTGCAGTGGCAGTGCGAGTGTGAGCGGCGCGCACCTGTAGTGGTCGAGTATGGAGGCGCGGTCAGTCATGCGGCGGCCTCAGCGCACGCACTCGTAGCGACGCGTGTGCAATGTCTAGTGTCTAGTGGCAGTGCAGTGGCAGTGCGAGTGTGAGCGGCGCGCACCTGTAGTGGTCGAGTATGGAGGCGCGGTCGGTCATGCGGCGGCCTCAGCGCACGCACTCGTAGCGCCGCGTGTGCAGTGTCTAGTGTCTAGGGGCAGTGCAGTGGCACTGCGAGTGTGAGCGGCGCGCACCTGTAGTGGTCGAGTATGGAGGCGCGGTCGGTCATGCGACGGCCTCAGCGCACGCACTCGTAGCGCCGCGTGTGCAGTGTCTAGTGTCTAGTGGCAGTGCAGTGGCAGTGCGAGTGTGAGTGGCGCTCACCTGTAGTGGTCGAGCATGGAGGCGCGCTCAGTCATGCGGCGGCCTCAGCGCACGCACTCGTAGCGCCGCGTTTGCAGTGTCTAGTGTCTAGTGACAGTGCAGTGGCAGTGCGAGTGTGAGCGGCGCGCACTTGTAGTGGTCGAGTATGGAGGCGCGGTCGGTCATGCGGCGGCCTCAGCGCACGCACTCGTAGCGCCACGTGTGCAGTGTCTAGTGTCTAGTGGCAGTGCAGTGGCAGTGCGAGTGTGAGCGGCGCGCACCTGTAGTGGTAGAGTATGGAGGCGCGGTCGGTCATGCGGCGACCTCAGCGCACGCACTCGTAGCGCCGGGTGTGCAGTGTCTAGTGTCTAGTGGCAGTGCAGTGGCAGTGCGAGTGTGAGCGGCGCGCACCTGTAGTGGTCGAGTATGGAGGCGCGGTCGTTCATGCGGCGGCCTCAGGGCACGCACTCGTAGCGCCGCGTGTGCAGTGTCTAGTGTCTAGTGGCAGTGCAGTGGCAGTGCGAGTGTGAGCGGCGCGCACCTGTAGTGGTCGAGTATGGAGGCGCGGTCGGTCATGCGGCGGCCGCAGCGCACGCACTCGTAGCGCCGCGTGTGCAGTGTCTAGTGTCTAGTGGCAGTGCAGTGGCAGTGCGAGTGTGAGCGGCGCGCACCTGTAGTGGTCGAGTATGGAGGCGCGGTCGGTCATGCAGCGGCCGCAGCGCACGCACTCGTAGCGCCGCGTGTGCAGTGTCTAGTGTCTAGTGGCAGTGCAGTGGCAGTGCGAGTGTGAGCGGCGCGCACCTGTAGTGGTCGAGTATGGAGGCGCGGTCAGTCATGCGGCGGCCTCAGCGCACGCACTCGTAGCGCCGCGTTTGCAGTGTCTAGTGTCTAGTGGCAGTGCAGTGGCAGTGCGAGTGTGAGCGGCGCGCACCTGTAGTGGTCGAGTATGGAGGCGCGGTCGGTCATGCGGCGGCCGCAGCGCACGCACTCGTAGCGCCGCGTGTGTATGAACGCGTGCACGCTCGCACTGTACGCCGTGGGCAGGTGCATGTGGCACAGTTCGCACTTGAATGGACCCCGCGCCTGTGCACCGAACACAACTTTAATCACAGGTTTGTTTTGATTATCTCTCACTAGCCCTTCGACTCTCAAACAAATTTGAACACTGGTATTACTCGCGCAGATAAAGAATAGGAATATAAATGGCGTCTCATCTCTCGCTTGCACATTGCCGTTGTCTTTAGTGCTTATTTACATTAAACACGCGAGCGCGGGGGGCGGCAGTAGGCGCGGTGGTTTGGGCGAGCTCGTGTTCACGATGGCCGCCAGACGTTAGTTAGTGCACGAGTTGCGAGTGTGCTGTCAGAGGTTATATATTAGAATAATTACTTTATTATAATTGTTATTGTCAGTTATAAACAAAACACAGTTCCTTAAACGATACGATTCTTAACCGTAGATAGAATTTGAACATGATGTATATAAATTACTAGGCATAGGCTGATAAGGTCAATAAATTGTCTACAAAATAAAAAAATTAAAAATTAAAATAAAAGTTTTACCACTCCGAAAGACAAGTATTATACATGTTGCGACTCGTTAAATATAATATAATACAGATAAAATATAATAAGGATATAAAAAAGAGAAAATAGATTATAAAAATAAAAATGTTACTTACTGGACTGTGTTTCTTCATATGATTCTGTAATTTAGACTCAAAATTAAATCCCTTAAAGCATAGATTGCATTGGAAGGGAAACTTAAGACCGGCCTTGCTGTCCTCCTAAAACAATTTAGGAATAAAGTTTATAAGAACAGAAGTGGACCAAGAATCTGCCCTTGTGAAACACCTAAACTTACAACCGAGCTTGAAAATGTTTTACAAATTTTAATTTTATAACCAATTAATGGGTGGCATATCACAAATACATCTTTTCTTTTAAAAGTCAATTGCTGGACCATATCCGATTCTTTTTTATATATAAGGTTGACAACAACACAGTTCAGTGGATGTGATGAGAGTGGATGCTGTGGCTCATACTAGACATCTTCATCTATCTTCAATTAAGAATTAAAGCGTTGTCACCCCTGAGGACTAAGATGGTTTCCAGTAAAAAGGGTCTCCGGCTCTCTACACTAATCATGCGAAACACAGGCAGCATTGAGCTACCATTTTATGCTGGTGTTCTGTGAGAACGTGGTCCTTTTCCTGATCGAGCCGACCGAATCGGGATACAATTAACCAAATGCAATTATGGTTGTAGCACGAATGGGTTGGCTCGACCGGGGAAGGACCACGCTCTCACAGAATACGAGCGTGAAATAGCAGCTTGATGTTGCTGTATTTCGTATGGTGAATATAGAGATCCGGAGACCCTTTTTGCTGCAAACGAAGCATTCCATCTTAGTACTTAGGGGTGACAACACATCTGCATATTGATTCTTAATCGAAGATATATCTAGATGTCTGTAGGCCACAGCATACACTTACCACCAGGTGAACTGTGTGCTCGGTTGTCACCGTTATACTATAAAAAAAACCTTAATACATATAGCTACAATTAATTCTACCACAAATAAAATAATAATAACGATTGAAATAATGTTCGTGACGAATTGCACTGTGCAAGCGGTCACTACAAAATTGTTCTGTGGCTCGACTGTCACAGGGGTGCTATCACATCTAAGACTTTGACTTGGGTCAATAATGTGTATTGTTATGCCAGTTAAATTACGATCACTTGACCACCGAAGCAGCCCTGACAGGCTGCTTCGGTGGTTAACTGGTCGTAAGATTCACTACTGACCATGTGGCCCCGGATTAGAATCCCCAGTCGGGTCACGTGCATACACTTAAGTATCTCCCGTACGGGTGACCAATATCCGGTCGAGAGAATAGTGTTGCGCGCCACAATTGATGTCTGGCACATGTCGACACAAGTAACCACTAGCGCCTTCCAGTATCGAGTAGCAGAACTAGGAGAGCCAAGATCCTTCTAGAAATTACCATGAAAGAACTTGTCAGTCGGGTCCGGTATGTACTCGAACATTTTAGATGTTTCCACAGTGCAACTACCGATGTTCAGAGGCAGGAATAGGTTTATTGCGCGCCACAATTGATGTCTGGCACATGGCGAGCCGATTTAGATTTAGACCAAAACAGGGTTCGAGTCATATCACTATTAAAAGTAGTAAAAGTAAGAACAATCATCAACTCTTTTGTTTCGGGTACCTTTTTTTAATTTTTAATTTAAGGCCGAATACGACGCGATTGACCTTGCTCGTTTCGCAGCAAACCACGCGCCGTCTATCGAACATCACGTGTGTTACCCGTTCGCTTTGTTTATATAGACATGTATAATATAATCAAAGCCCATACGAACGAGCTAGCTCAGTATGCAGAGTATTGAATAACACAGAGAGCATTGCTAACTTCTTAATTAAATCTTTCTTATTTATAATATTAGTTCCTATAGATTATAAATTTTGTACTTTATTCGTTATAAAATATTGTTCGAAAAGTTATTGAATTGATATCGATTTTTTTTTTCTTAATTGATGCATCGTACTTAAAGAACCTCATATAACTGAAAATGTTTGTTCTTGTGAGTCTTACAAGATGCCGTAATGCAAATTGCATAAATAATAAAGAAAAAAAAACTAAAAAGTCGGTGATTGCCCCATAGTGGGGATAGGTACTGTGTATGTAAATTCTCACAAGACTACTCCGATTGGTCAATCACTTTACATCCGAAGTATTTCGGTTTTTCTTAATTATGTACATTATTTGCGGTCTCTGTGCTTGCACTACTCTGTACATTCATTCCGACTCGGTCGTGATATTTACATTTTTAGTATTTCTCACTTGCCTAGAAAAGTATAAATGATCAGTTTGGCTAATGTAAATGAGTAAAAACGCAGCCTATTAGGCAGCCTCAAACAAAAAAGTACCTTACAAAAAATATAAGTAACCTCAAAAAGAAACTTACAACATTCGAGCAGCGTTCATGCGATAAACTCTCTTTGTTTTACCACTTAGGTAACATTTATTTCTTTTCCCACCCATATTCACATTTATACGCGTATAAAACACTAAATTATCGCTACAGACACAACGACTGTTGTCATCTTACGCCACACGTCGAAGCGCCTGATAATTTATTACGGCAAACTTTTATCTGGCAATATACGATATTATTATTAGGCGTTTTAATTAAAACGAATTATTAATAAATAATATTTTGTATCGAAAATAAAGACGGCAGGCACCTTTGAAATCACAATACAAACATCTTTACGTAAAAGAATTTTTCCTAAATTAAAATTCACAGAGTTTTGGAAGAACAATAATTTTTAAATATCATTTCATAACATTTTTTATTTGTTGGTATATTCATTTATTTTAAAATTTTATAACGGCGGGCACCTTGTGAAGGAACCAAACATAGACATATAGACATAAACACTCACGCCTGTCACCTAGAGGGGTAGGCAGAGACTACCGACTTCCATTTGGCACAATCCTGACACACCTCTCTTGCCTCCTTCACATCCATACACCTACGCATACATGCTCGTTGGTTAAGGGTACTCCTAATTTGGCCCATTTTCAATAAATCGCCAATTTAGTCGATAAATTTTCGCCTAGGACGTCCCTTTCCGACTCTGCCATTCACTTCTGCACCATAAATTTTCTTTGTCACTCTTTCCTCATTCATTCTTTCCACATGACCAAACCACCGAAGCATTCCTTTCTTAATCCTGGTCACAACATCATCTTGCAAACCACACTCTTCTCTTATTACACAATTTCTTACCTTGTCATTCAGATTCAGCCCTAACATACTCCTTAACGACCGCGTTTCTACTGCGTTTATTCTACTCTTGTGCTTCTTCTGTCACACCCAACTTTGACTACCATACGTTAAAGTAGGGACCAACACAGCATTGTGAATTGCCATACGAACCAAACAAACCTACAAAAAATATTTTAACGCTTACCATTACTTCAGGTCAAAGTTCTAGTGAAGAGAAATACATTAATTTTCGCCAGTTCTCTTCGTATTCGGCCTTAAGTTAATTATGTGTATTCAAAACAACACTCACCTCCCTCTGTTTAATCTGTTCTTCGGGATTCAGTACAATTATTTTTATCTTACTAGGATCCAACTCTAAAGGTTTTCTTATTGATGTCATGCGTGTCTGCTTTTTCTCTTTGACCTTCGCTCCTGTTTCTCCTGTTTCTTCTGTACTGTGGACACGAGGTTATTATCATCCACGAACGTTTCTTATATAGATATAGAGCTGCAAACTAGCATCCAGTCCATGTGACCCATAGATCTATCTTTGATTAAGAATCAAAATGCAGATGCGTTGTCACCCGTTAGTACCAAGATGGAATGCCTCTCCTTTCCATTATAATGAGTCTCCAGTTCTCTACACTCATCATCCTTCACCAGCCAAGCCGACACATTCGTGCTAAAACCATAATGTAACTGCAGTATGGCTAGTGATGGGTCAACTCTATGTACTAGAGGCGACACTGTATTTAGTTACGCTGTACCATTCAACTGCGGCCTTATCGCCGCACTTTACCCAGTTACTCACTAGGCGCTAGTGACTTGACACATATTAATTAATCATATTTTTAAAAAATCTCGATAAAATATGCCTTGGTGTGTTTTTAGATATTGCACAAATAATTCAAGTAATGTTAGCAAATACGAAGGAATAACTTTTTAGCGGTTAATAAGATACTTAATCAAAAAAAAGTATTATAGATAATAATAAAAGAAATCGTTCCTAAGACGCCATCTCGTGACATAGAATATAGATTATGAAATAAATTCGTTCAGATGCGACATTTCTGTGGGTATTTAAGTATAGGACGAATATATTATTATGCACATTTTTTTTTGTTGAAACATATATAAGTTATCATAATTAGGCAATTTTTTATATTTAAATCTGCTCATTGTTCCTTTATTTTATTTTTAGGTTTCCACATCAGTCAAAGTGGAATAAATTCGTTAATTCTTAACTCTCGCGTGCCCAGCATTTATGAACGACTCTTATTCGAATTTAAATAAATATATTTGTAATTTAATAAAATGTTATATTAATAAGTTTTGTCAAACATACATTTAGTATGTTTTTTTTTTAAATATTTTTTGATTTGAGGGTATGTTTTTTTTATTTGAGTTACCTTTTAAAATATTCAGATAAAAATATCATTAAAATGTAATTGTGATACAATATTTTGTAATATTATATTAAATAAGCAAATATAATATACAAAATAAATGACATAATTTAAAAATTGTATTCCAGATTATTTTCATATTTAACCATACAATCTATTATTACCTACTGATCATTCCATCTATGTTTATTCTATGATAAAAAACCAACCGCGCGAACACAGAGTAGCGCACATTTTTTTGTTTGAAATATATATATCTATAGTTACATAGCTATAGCTCTTCTAGTACGTAAGTACATATTTCGTTATTTATTTTTTTATATAGAAAAATTGAGACAAGCGAACACACATCCACTTATATCGAGATATTAATGTCTACACATAGACCATCTATTTTCGATTTAGAATCAAAATGCAGATGGAGTACTGAGATGGAATGCCTCGTTTCCAGTTAAAAGGGTCGCAAGCTCTCTACACTCCCCATACGAAACACAGCAGCATTAAGCTGTTATTTTACGTTGGTATTCTGTAAGAGCGTAGTTCTTCCATATTACTTCTAAAGAGCTTACTCCTTTCTAAAGGGCCGGCAACGCACCTGCAATTCCCCTGGTGTTGCGGTTGATCATGCGCGGCGGTAGTCACTTAACATCAGGTGAGCCGCATGCTCGTTTGCCCCCCTCTTCTACAAAAAAAAAAGATCTGAGTGGTATATGGTAGAACTACACTGCAGCTATATTATGGTTGTAGTAAGAATGGGTCTACCATTCGTACTACAACCATAATATAGCTGCAGTGTATTTCTACCATGTATAAGAAGGATTGTGAGCTCATAAGTCACCCATATTAGTATGAAAAGAAATATATCACACAACTAGCTAAATTCCTACACTCACCTTGCCTTCTTCTTTTTAGCCTTTTCATTTTTCTTTTTCGTCTTCTTCTTAGATGCCTCTATTCGTTCTGTTATCACTTGACTCTCGTCTTCTCGAAGGATTGCTAGTAAGTCATCTTTACAACTGGTTACATTTGATCTGCAACAAAACTCAGCAGCTTAATTTCCATTATACCAGCTTATAACAGCGTAAAATAGCAGCTTAATGCTGCCGTGTTTCGTATGTAAGTGTGGAGAACCAGAGAACTTTTCACCGGAATCGAAGCATTCCATCTTAGTCCTCAGGGACGACATTGCATTTGTATTTTGATCTTTAGTTGAGGATAAATATGGATGTCTATATGTAGCATCAACTTACCATCAGGTGGACTGTGTGCTCGTTTGTCACCCAATACTTTAAAAAAAAATCTGCCACTGTTCGGCTCAGTAAGTCATTGCTACAATTGGATACATTTGAATCCCATCATGACAGACAATCTTCTGGTCAAGCGATCAGAACTAGCTTCTACAATAGTCAATACATATTATGCATTAACTCTCACGCTCGTCACAATAGGGATAGGCAGAGACTACAGACTTCCATTTGTCACGATCCAGATATACCTCTTTCGGTCCTTTCACATCCATATACCTACGAGTATACGCTTGTCACTTAAGGGTACTACTCTTAATATGGTTTAAATAAAACTGGTTTTTACGGATTTTATCGCGTATATTAACTTTTTTATACTCCCGACGTTTCGAGCACTATACAGCACCCATGGTCACGGGACTGAGGTGTTCGACATCCAGATATCAAAGTTAACCGCAGTTACCCACAGTTTAAAATTATTAATTTTTGTTACAATCTACGCAGTATGAACTTATAGAAAGTATCTTGAAGTCTTGCAGTTGTATGCTTGGGTTGGGATTTAATTTTATTAATTATAGGATTGATATTAATTTCAATAGAGGAGATGGCAGCACCCAGCCATCTCCTCTATTGAAATTAGGATGTTTTTTTAATTTCAATAGCCTCGAGAATCTTCCTTTAGTCTTCCTAAGTCAGTGTACTTTACCATCTTAGTCTGCATCTCCACATACCATCAGGTCGAATAGCAGAAAAGCACTGACGTATATAATAAAAGAAGATTAAAAGAATACAGTACTGTACTGTGTAGTAGCTGTGTGAGATATATCATATATATATACATCATTCATGTCGTAAGAGGCGATAGAGGGAAAAAAATCAGAAGATGGGCAACATTGTGTTCCTAATATCAACCAAAAATAAAGAACTGCAGTTGCCAAGCCGCTTGCCAAGTGTGGAACTATGATACGTGGATGCTGAGGCCTATAGACATCTACATTTGTCTTCGATTAAAATATGCAGATGTGAGACCCTTTTTACAGGAAATGAGGCATTCTATCTTAGTCCTCACAGGTGACGTGTGGCGGCGCTGTCGTCGCGCCACAAGCGAAACACACCGAAGCTTAAATCGCGCTATCAAAGTTCCGAATCATAACTGTATATATAGAACAGCTCCGAACTATCACACGGAGCGTTGGCCGCTTCCCGGCCAGAACACCTTGCCCGGCGGGAGATCTCCCCTTTTCTTTCTACGGCCACAAACGCATCTGCATTTTGATTCGTAATAGAGGATAGATGTAGATGTCTACGGGCCACAGCAACCACTTACCATCAGGTGGATTGTGTGCTCGTTTGTCACCCTATTCTATAAAAAAATGTGTTGGGAGAACCCCTGAGAACTAATATGGAATGCCTCATTTGCAGTTTAAAGTGTCTCTGTATCAAGCTGCTATTTCACGCTAGTATTTCAATTATATTCTCATAAGGTAGTAATGATAATTATTTAATTAGTATTCTTGGACAAAATCTATATGTATATATAAAAATCAATTGCTGTCCATTAGTGTGTGCTTGAAAATGGCTGGACATATTTTGATGAATTTTTTTGTGTGTTTGAGTTCCTGGATAGTTTAAATTCGGTGGCGCCGTTGTCGAGATTCATAAATCACCCGTGTGAAGCCGGGGCTTGCTAGTATTGCAAAAAAAACTCTATTCTAAAACATTTTACTCTAGAAAGGAGAATTTCATCAAGGACAAAAGACGTCTGATGGCTTGGTGTGGAACAAGCTACATATCATCAGTCGTGTTCGACGCTTGTTGATGAGCGGACCTGTGTCGGTTAGATTCGATATTGAAATACTGACAGTGTGACTTAAACTATTACCTTATTACGTTGCTACAGTGTTCATTATCTTGTGCAGTGCAATAGGCTTATTGACAGTGTAATCCCTTCCTCCGTATGTGAGCGAAAGAAACGGCTAACATTCTTATTACGTTTACTCACGTTACTACGTTTACTAATGTGCCTCATCGTAAGCGTATCGATTAACCTCGGAATACTTCGTGAATCTTTCTTTTGATACCTTCGCTCCACCTGCTGTTCACGTCGAGTAACCTCCACGTACAAGTATAATCTCTTATAAACATGAGTTTGCAGCGCAGTCCTCCTACTGGATCGCACCTCGACCTCACCAAGCTACGGGATTTTGACTCTTCACAAGGCATTACCCTCAGAAAGAAAAAATCCCCCCGAGTGTGAAATTACTGGTTTCCGCGAGGAGCTGAGTAACTCGCTTTCTTCATATCGTCGTGACATGTCCGAGACGTTAGCAGCTTTTAAGGAAAGTATGATGGCATCACTAAAGGAACTGCTTGACCAGCAAAGTGACAAAATATGCAAGTTGTGTGAGGATATCAGTGATGTGAAGCAGCATATGTCTTACCTGAATAAAACTACCGAAAACATGTCCTGTGAAATTAATGACATTAAACTTAACATAACGACCCTGAATAAACAAATTGAATCGACAAATATGAGAGTATGTAACCTAGAAAAAGAATTGTCTGAAAAAAACCACGTCATTACCTCCCTATCCACACAGCTCGGCGACAGAGAGCAGCAAGGTCGCTTGAATAATTTGGAGATTACCGGAATCCCGTTCAAGAGAAGCGAAAACCTCAATACTATCCTAAACTGCATCGCAACTAAGGTTGGATTCATAATATCACCTTCTGATGTCGACTATATTCACAGAGTCAGGCGATATCCTCGTAATGATGATAATAAGAAAACCATACTTGGTCGAGAATCATCTGACATCCCGAATATCATAGTACGATTTACTCAAAGAAAAAGAAAATCCGACATGTTGGCGGCAGTGCGCGTGCGCCGCGGCCTGACTACAGCTGACTTAGGCCTGGACGGCGCCTCAAGACCGGTTTTTATTAATGACCATCTGGCACCACATAATAAAATCTTATTTGGAAAAGCGCGTAAACTAGGTAAAGAACTCCATTATAAGTATATTTGGTCACGGGATTGTAAAATGTTTTTGCGCAAATCGGATACATCTAAAATAATACAAATATCCAATGAACACGATTTAAACAAAATATGACTACTTATTGATAAGGTATACTTTGTTAACATTGTGTCGATTTTTTTGTTTGCATTTATGTGTTTATTACATTTGAGCCGTTGTACTGTGTTTAATTTTATAACTCTTGACGCTGTATACGATAGTCAATATAAGCATGCATCATTGCGCTGTGAATATTTATTTATGTGCTATTATTTACTTTTTAATGAACAAATATCTGATAACTATAATTTCTTTAAAATCCATAAATTGCTAATTAAATCAAAAAATAAATATTCTATAGGTGTCACTACAGGATATAGGGAGATTCAAAATAATAATTATTGTGAATTGAAATACCTATCTACCCTCTTAATAAGCACCAAAAAAAATATTAAAATAATGTGGTACGAATGTAACATTGTTTTTCTATTATTTTCTATAATAAATAACCTAATTTTATGAAATGGCTACTCGTAAAACAATATCAATTTATTATCAAAACGTTAGGGGCTTGCGAACTAAATCTCACGACTTTCTTAAAAGCATTCTAAATTGTAATTTTGATGTGATATGTATCACTGAGTCATGGCTAAATGAAGGATTTTTCAATTCTGAATTTTTTGATGAGCGCTTCGAGGTATTTAGATGCGATCGAGACTCTTTTTCCACGCAATGCACGCGTGGCGGTGGCGTCATAATAGCAGTGAGTCGCGAGCTGTGTCCAAGCTTGCGCACGCGCTGGTGCGCCCCGCCGCCCGCCGACGAGCTGTGGGTGAGCATTCCGTTGCGCACCCGGCCTATACCTACTGACGACGTTGCGAACGCGGTATCGTATTTACACCTTGCCTGTACCTATATACCTCACGGCGTCCGACACGAATCTTTACTAGCATCATTCTACGATAGAACTAGTGATCTAATTAACACAAATCCTAACGATTTATTTCTTATTTTAGGTGACTTTAATGTGTCACATGCAGAGTGGTTTTATGATGACGACATAGGTAGCATGAACATAAGAACAAGTAATGATCCATTAATAGCCCTCACTAGCGATTTCATGAACCTTTCCCTATTATCACAATTTAATTATGAATTTAACGTAAATAACAGACTACTTGACTTAGTTTTTTGCACGACTGCTTGCTGTTTACGGGCCTGTGACAGTCCCTTAATAGCTGAAGATGCCCATCATAAATCTTTATGTATTGAACTTCCTCTTCACTTACACAAATCCCTCAAAACCAACACAATAAACAAAAAATTGTTCTTTCGGTCAGATTTTGATAGTATTAGAAAGGGATTAGTCTCCGTAGACTGGGACGCAAAATTTTGTACTATGCCTGACGTTGAGGATAGAGTTAAATATTTTTATGAAATTCTTAATAGTCTTATAGATAAACATGTACCATCCCGCATTGTACACGATACAAGTAGATATCCCCCGTGGTACAATCGTCCCCTTATTAAACTCGATAAAGAAAAACGCAAATACCATAAAAAATGGAAAACTTATCATAATGAAGCAGACTACAATACATTTTCTATGCTAAGATCGAAACTGCGCAAGATGGAAAGTGAATGTTACTCAAATTTCATTACCCTCTCTGAACAGAAAATTGAATCTAATGCTAAATTCTTTTGGTCTTACGTCAAATCGAAGAGAATGACTGGTACCATCCCTCAAAAAATGACTTACAAAGGTGAGACCCTGTCCGACGGTAACGACATTTGCGATGCCTTTAACCATTACTTTCAATCTGTTTTTGTTAGGCCGTCCACCAATTATAATAATAGTAAATTAGATAATAATTTAAATACTGATCCGCTCATATCCATAAATACAATTTACTTAAGTGATGACATCATTATTAAAGAACTAGAGAATGTCAATATAAATAAAGGTGCCGGGCCGGATGGAGTGCACCCAGTGATTATATTGCGCTGTGCTAAAGAGTTGTTAAAACCGATATCTAATATTTTTCGACTATCTATGAAAACTGGAATGTTTCCTAGTGTATGGAAACGGGCTCTCATTACTCCAATACCAAAGAACTCACAAAAAGATCAAATTACTCAATATCGGCCAATTTCTAAGTTATGTGTCCTTAGTAAAATTTTTGAGAAGATTGTAACTAATCAATTGTCATATGTTGTGCGTAATCATATCGATGAAAATCAACATGGCTTTATGAAATCGCGCAGTGTGGACACCAATATGGTCATGTTTACAGACTTCCTTCTTAATGCAATGGATAATAACACCCAGGTTGATGTCGTGTACACCGACTTCTCCAAAGCTTTTGACAAAATTAACCATGACATACTTCTAAAAAAGCTTTGGAGATTAGGAGTGCATGGAAGTCTGCTTAGATGGATCGAATCATATATACGAAATCGCAGCCAGGCAGTCTGTTTGAATGGTTACTGCTCGTCCTTTCTTGTGGCCCCTTCTGGGGTCCCACAAGGCTCTCATCTGGGCCCTGTGCTTTTTTCCTTGTACATCAATGACATAGGTGATGTCTTACATAACAGCCATCATTTATTGTATGCAGATGACACCAAACTTTTCAGGACAATAAATTCTATTGAAGATTGCCACAAACTACAATCGGATATTGAGAGCTTATGTAATTATTGTGAAAGTAATCACTTGTACCTCAATGCAGATAAATGTTTTATAATAAATTACTCAAGAAAATCAAACCTCTTAACTTATAATTATACTCTTTTTGGGAAGGCTCTTAGTCGTGTTAGAAACATTCGTGACTTGGGCATCAACATGGACGATCAGCTTTCCTTCAATGACCACATAGATTTAGCTATAAAAAGAGCTTTTAGAAGCCTCGGTTTCATTAATAGAATAACTAAACCATTCAATAAGACTATCACTCTTAAAATCCTTTATTTCTCATTTGTAAGATCCATTCTTGACTTCGGCTGTATAGTGTGGTGTCCATTTTATAAAAACCATATTGATAGAATTGAAAAGGTCCAAAAAACATTTATTAAGATTTTAAATTACCGCTGTGACCTTTATGGCGAACCGTATATTAACTCCCTTCATAAACATAAAATGTTGAGTCTCAGTGATCGCCGTAAATATTTCGATATCATTTTCTTGTATAAAATTCTAAATAATAAAATTGACTGCTCTCCTTTATTAGCCAAAATAAACATTAAAAGTAACTTTCGTCTGCCCGCTCGCCCTCAACGTGTATTTCAAACATTCGTACCACCTACACTTCGAAAAAAATATACACAAAACTGCTTTATCTCCCGTTCGTTAAAATTATACAATAAAGAATTTGTAAATCTCGATCTCTTTAGTTGCTCCTTAAAAAGTCTTAAACGAAGTATCTTTAAGAGTTATTCAGATGAATACTTGACAGCGTAACATTCGGTAATCTCTACGATGTATTAATTATTGTCCCTTAAAAATGTATGTTTTTCAACTTTAATTAAGTTACCTATTTTAAGCTTTACTGTACTGTTGTTACATAAAGATAAATTTACTACTCAGCTTCAACTAACATGGGTAAATCTTTCAACAAGCTAAACTGAAATGTTATTCTAATGTATTTCTTCGGCACTCGTTGTCTATTAATTATGTAATGTTATAATATTGTACTTTCTTTTTAATGACTGTTTGTGTCACAATAAATGGAAAAAAAAAACATAACGTGAACTTATTGTTTTTTGAAGTGAAGACTTTTTTTAGCATCGTTGTGAATGTCTATGAAACGAAAAAGCGACAGTAAAAATAGACACATAAATTCATAAGATTTAATGTGAAAAAATGAGATAGGAAGCATTATAGATTATAACTTAATGCTCGCGAGAAAAAAGTAG